GAACCTGTATCATTATTAGCATAATCAATTGCGGAGGACGATTGCATAGCAGTCGAATTTTCATCAATTGCAGAGGATGATTGCACAATCAAATCTTCATCTAAATTTGAACTATCTTTGGGGTGTATTTTCCGTTTATTCAAAATTCTGATAAGCTCATCTTCATCTCATCATTTATTTTTGAAAGATCATGAAGAATACGTTCTTTTTCTACTTTACACTCTGAAATATCTCGTTTCTAATTCCAGAAGAATAATTAGAGTAAGTTTAAAGCTGATATATAAATACAAAATAAATGGTTTACTTACTATTTTACATTCATTAATTACATCGTTCCAATAATCCTTGAAATTATAATGTTTTCGATTTTCACTAATCTATTATAAGAAATGCATTTATTATGTTAACAGTGTGTAATTTTTTATTTAGTGGTGAGGCATGCCAGAAATCAAATGATTTATAGTATAGAAAGAGAGAGAGCGAGAGCGAGAGAGAGAGCGAGAGAGAAAGACCGAGAAATCAGATGATAAAAGGTATGACCAAAGGAAGACACATAATCGATTTCTCTTCGGAATCAGCAGACCTTTACCAACGACAAAGTTAGGGCGCCAGAATAGAGAACTTGGGGCTGATTACCCAAGTTGTCATACCCGGTAGTTCTCCTGGTCAGATCAGCGATCTACTAGAAGTTACTCTCCCTTTGCAAAATAAAAAAAACACACCTGTATTTTCAAATTATTAAAGTCATTTGGATTTAATAGCCCTTTTGCTTCTGCTAAAGTGATTACACCAGGACGTGTCAAGATCACGCCAGAGGGAAGTAACCGGAGTGGTAGCAACAATTGTGTCTCGACAACGGTAAAGAAAGCCCCAAAAAGATTTGTCTCTGCTTCGCGTCAAATATGATGTAAGTTCTTTGTAACCTGGATATTTTTGTTTGGAAGTCATGGTATAAACAACTTAGTAAAAATATAGCTTTGTTGAGGTGCAAGAAAAAAATACAAGAATTGTAAAAAAATGAGGTCCCTTAAACCCCTTAAATAACGCGTATACTTGAGTCATGTGTTAATTTATCGAATTTGGTATCTTATACTTCATATATTTTTCTGTGATACTAGTATTATGTATAAGTCTGGAGTAGTGATGCCGACTATACTCATGATAAAACTTGATAAAAATATAAACTATCCACGTGATAGGTTAATACTACTTATATCTTTGAGGTTTAGATTAAAAACGTGAAAAGCATCAAAATATAAACTGATAAACGTTATATACTTGCGATAAAACAGTG